ACTTAGTTTCTTTCTGTTTATTTTTCAAGCCAAAAAAAAACAGAACGAAATAATATTTTTTTTCCCAGTGATGAACTTATCATTTTAATTTCAATGACCCGTGAAAAAATGTTTTTTTTCACGTTAACGAAGAGAATGACAGATAACAATTTATACACACACATACTGAGAGAGAGATGGAAATGACAAGGTGATATGATTACTAGTTTATCTATTCAACACTCGTAGTAATAAATAGATGTTCAAATTGATTTAATAATTAGGTCATCAAAAGAGATTGATATCAGATTATGTATGTTGATAAAAACTGAGCACAACAGGATTTGATTAATTAAACAAGAGAGTACAAGAGGGAAGGAGAGTGGAGAAGCAAAATTCCATTCATGGCAAAACAATAAATCATTCAAAAGGCTGTGTAGGTTGCGTATTCAATGCTCAATTCATAGATTGTTCATTTGAGACTGTTGTCTTCATGAATCAATCATGAAATTCATGAATCAACTATTGTTAGATTACTTATTATTAGGAATGAAACTTGGAAGCAACAGACGGCCATTTCGTCCTGACATGGGACTCATCATCATCATCTGATAAGTGGTCTAACAATGAGTGATTCATGATTTCCATGATAAACAACAATTTTTCCTAACTCTATACTGACAAATCCCAATTTACGTCATTTATGGCGTAGGCGAGATATACGTTTGCTGACTAAAGGACGAGAGTACTGTGCAGCAGTTCGGTCCGTCCTACTATATGACTGTGAAACATGGTCAATCAGAGTAGGAGATATTCGTACGTTACTGGTTTTCGATCATAGATGTTTAAGAAGCATTGCTCGTATACCGTGGGACACCCGAGTGAGCAATGCTGTCGTTAGGAAGCGAGTTCAAGTTAAGGATGGCAAATCAGTTGATGAAGTATTGGCACTTCATCAGTTGGAGTGGTTGAGACATGTGTTACGTATGCCCAACCACCGACTGCCTCGATGAGCTGTGTTTTGTGGTGTAGGAGTAGGTTGGAAGAAAGTTAGGCGCGGCCAGACCAAAACATAGCAGAAATCCATGAAGTAATTGACGAGTGGACTTAGTCATGTTGGTAGATGTACACTACCTGGTTGGGGTCCGCGAGACGATAGTCACCAATGGTTAGTGACCTTGAATGACATGGTTCGAAATCGTTTTAATGGCGTGGGTGCATTCATTCATAGTGCTCTCTGAAATTCTAACCTTCTGAAATCCTCATCATCTCCATCTTTCTCTTTCTAACTTTATCTTACTGAATTATACTTTTGGAATCGTATCTTCGCTCCCTAATCTTCTCCATTACTGCTGATACTTCTACTATCGCTATCACTTTTAGATTTGAACTGACAGTTGCGTCTCTATGCTCATGTAGTATGGCAACGTGAACTGATGTACTTACGTACGAAGTTCTGCGTTGTATCTGTCTTAAGGATGGCTTGATAAATTATAGACACTGAAGTTGATGGTATCCACAACAACGAAGGATAGAACATTACTTACTTACTTTTACTTACATACATCTGTTACCCCCAACGGGGTAATAGGCCAACGATCACCATTCTCCAACCTACTCTGTCCTGGTTCTACCTTTCTAGTTCTGTTCAACTGTTCTTCGTTGTTCTCATTTCGGTCTCCGTTTCTCCGCACAGTATATTCCTTGGCCTTCCTCTTTCCCATTGGCCTTGAGAATTATACTTCTTGAATAATATCTTCAAAACCTAATCTTTCCGATTACTTCCCTTACTTCTACTACATTTACTAATATGGGATTTGAATTGGCAGTTGCATCTCTGCGTTAATGTGGTATGGCAACTTGAATTGATGTACGTACCTACGAAGTTCTATGTTGCTACTGATTGATTGACTGATTGACACAAACACAAAATTGTACCGTTTTCTACGTTTTTCTACTTAAACTATTAAATCTTAATTTGTTTTTCCCCATATCTTGTATGCTAGTTTCCATCTTCGACTTATCCGTAATAACATCCCCACACTGAACCAGCAATTATCACGGCTTAACAGTAATTTTCCCTAAAAATTGTACTTCATCAACGTCTAGTCTTGGTATACTCTCAATAAAATCCCATCGAGTATTTGTATTTTTTTTAAAAAATCTATATATATCATAACAAAAACTCAAATCGCTGATAAAGTCGTTTTTCATTTCCTTACTACTGTTTACATCATAGTCAGTAGTAAATTTTAATTGATTAAAAAATAATTAAATAAAATCTATTATCATTCATTATCAAAACATTTCGTACAATTTTTTACAAAATAGGAAAATAAAATAAAATAAAATTTTGTAAATATTTTCATGCTATCAATAAAATTTGCATAAATATATATATTTATATTTATATATTTAAAGATGATTATCACAATTTACGTACATCATTTTTCGATCTCGAAATTATTGATAATTGAACGAATAGGTGCGAGTCGGAGAGAGAGAGAGAGAGAGAGAGCTCACCTCATTCATTTATATATATCAAAATAACACTATCACTAAGAAGATAAATCAAGAAACGAATTTCGAAAATGATCAAAGCTACGCGTTAACTTATATAACTAAATATGTGTTCTGATTTTTGGATATGCTCAGAGTGTTGCCTTATTTTTTAAGAGAATTTGCCTATCACACTATGAAAATAGTAATAATAATAAACAGATTATGATGAAGTTGTGTTCTGTGAGATGAATGTTTTTTTTATCTTTTGTTGTGGAGCTTTCACTGTTCTTCTTCGGAACAACAAGATCATCAGAACAAAATTCTTCAGATAGAAGAAGTGAAGTATTCGAATTTCTCCATGCATCATGACTCGTAGCTTGTTCGGTTGACTTGGATCTTGATTGACTGTTGTTGGCCTTAAACCTGCCGTTGTCTGCATCTTTATTTGGATTGTATCCCCTGGTTGTATCCTGTTTCTGGATCCTATATTTGCCTATGATTTCTTTGACTGGTTGATAAATCGGGGATACAATCAATCAAAAGAAAGGTGTAAACAACGACAGATTTAAGGTTAATGACAACCAATCAAGATCCAGGTTAACCGGCCAAGCTACGAGTCATGTGTGGAGAAATTCGAATACTTCACTTCTATTACCTGAAGTTTGTGCTGCTGATCATGTTGTTCAGAAGAAGAAGAACAATGAAAGCTCCACAAGCAGAATATCCAACTCAGAGAACGAGACTCAATCACAATCATCCACCTGAGCCAGAAATTTTCTCCACCATCTCAAAATAAGTAGACTATTAGTTCCGAGTAAGCTGAGTAAGTAATCGATGGACAGTTTTAATCCCTGCTCCTCAAAGATTTCTTCGTAAGAATTGAACGTGAATAAGTAAAAATCATTCTTAGTTTACTATATTTTTATCACATAACTATGATTAAGCCTCTGCTGGAATGTTATATGGTCCGGCTGCTTTGCCACTCTTGATTTGTCTGATTACCCTGCTGATCTCTTCAATTGTTGTCGGGCTAACATTAATTGTGAAGTCCGTGGATGCTGCTTCGATGTTGGGTGGATTCAGTGGAGCTGGTCGATTCAAGAGAAAGAGAGCTTCTTTATCGTCTCTGTTACGCCTTCACGTAAACATGTCAACTTGATATACTTGAACTATTACGAGTTTACCTAGTCAGAAAACGAAAGTGACGATCGAGGATCCGGTGACACGACATGCTACTCAAATCCGATTATCCCAACCCCCATGTTTAGTAACAATGAGAAGACTTGATATGCAGTAGACCATGTATTCTACAAGCATCCAGAAAGTACGAGGTTCGAGTCCAGGAGAGAGTCAGGATTCCGGGCTAGGGATTCGGGTCCTGGTACTGGTCCTGGTCATAAAACGTTACACATAATGCGTATTTATACATTTAGATCGAATAGGAAACAGCATCGAAGTCTGTGACATTGACAGCTAGGATGACCAATAGGAAGTAACATTTGAAGTGACATTAAAAGTCAGGACAACCAATAGAAAGAACATTGGAGCATGTGACATTTATATCTAGGATGACCATAAAATTGACCAGTAGTAATGAACCAATAGGAATTGACCAATAATTCTCTTAGGATATTGGATGAATATCCTAACAGTCTCATACAATTGTCTCATGTTACCTTCGCTTGCAGCCTTGTCCACCGTCATTGCTAGATCTTCCACATATTTTCTTTTATCGGCTCTGATGCTGCCTCTTCACCTGTTTGTTTGCTTCTGTCCATTCAGTTTGGACCTTGGCTTTTCTGCTCTTGGTCAGTTGTAACCGGACTGCTGTCTTCCTGTTCTCCCTTTCTTGAATGTTATCCAGAGTATCAACAAAGATCCTTTGCTTGTGTTGGTGCTTCTTGTGGCCCAGAACCTCATGACATGCTAAAGTGATCCCTTTACAGTTGTTCTCCATCATGGTTTCCTCTCCAATGAGTAGACAGTGCAAAGCCTGGAAGTTATTTCTAAAGGCTATCTTGAATTTGTTGATTTTGTCAGTATCCTGAAGAAAGGCCGTATTAAACTTTTGTGATGTTGTCCGCCCCCGTTGTGCAGTGCTTCTTTAGTTTCAGTTTCATCTTGCCTACCACAAAATGATGAGCTAAAGCTATGCCGGCTCCTCTCTTCGTTTAATCAACTGACCGAACTAAAATGAAAAAGTTTAAATGAAAAAACATAACAAAATTCCGGTTGATACTGATGACTGTCAGTGGTTTTCTATCATTCCAACATCCCTTAAAAATGTCTTAGTTGAGAATATTGATCATTGGAACTGTCTGTAGTTCTTTTAAACAAAAAATGCGCCAAATTTACAATGTCAATTCAATTGTCAATATTCTAACAAGTAGCGCTTAAATTTTCTTGTTTTTTTTCACCTCCTTTTTTCCTACAGATCATTCATCTTGTTTTATATATTTACATATAATCACAACAGAAATTTCAAAATTTCACATTTTCAAAATCGAAGAAAATTAAAACAATTATGCAATTCTCAAATTGTTTAAATTTATCAACAGTTTTGTACATTTTCCAATTGTTCATTCTTCTCAACATGATGAATAACAAATCATCAATTGTCAGCTGTGCATGTTTACAATTAACTGAAAATGATCGTCCAGTGTTATTTTGTCAATCCACCATACCATCTTTACCAATCCCAAGACATGATATCCCAATACAAATTGCCAAATTAATCATCTCAGGCACGAATATCACCGGTTGGCATAATGGAATTTTAACAAGAGATAATCTAACAGGTTTAGAAACATTGACTTATCTTCAAATAAGTAATTTCCATTTGAAAGAAATTCAATCGCATACATTTTCTGCTATGAAACATTTACGTATATTAGATTTATCCAACAATCATATAATCACTATACAACCGGAAGCATTTTTAGGGCCTAGTTTAAAACTTCTTTCATTAACTGATAATAAAGGTATCACGCTGGATAGGACATCATTTCATGGTGCACATGTATTTCACTTGGCAGCTCGTAATTGTGATTTAACTACATTAGACTATGAGACAATTGCTGAAGCTAGACCGAAACAATTAAGTCTATCGGATAATATGTTGACATGGTTAGATCCACAATTCGCGGAACTTGTCATCGATTCGTCCAAATCAAATAATCTGCATTATTTATCTACCGGTTCACATGATGTTGGTTCAAATCTTGGCTATTTAGATTTAAGTAATAATCCGCTGAATTGTGATTGTCAACTTGTATGGCTTTCTAAATTAATTGAAAGTCAATCTTATGATGCTTATCAATATATTAACACTGGTAAAGATTTAACCACGAACAGGAATAATGATAATAATAATAATCACAAAAAAGATGTGACTGATTGGTCGAATTCACCGACGGAATCATCATCGTCATCATCATCTTCAATTCGTCTGATGCAACATATGAATATGACATGTGCACAACCACCGGCTTTAGCTGGTAAAAAGCTACCACGTAGTTGGGATTACTATTGTCCTACACCAAGTATCACTGGGATTGAAATTAATTTGTTGAAAGCTAGTGCTGATTTTGCCCAATTGACATGTATCGGTAAAGGTAGACCAACGCCAAGTTTAGCATGGACATATAAAATACACGGACAAAAAGTACAACAAATTCTAGATCCTTCGATAAAACAAACTTTCAATGATCAATACTTTTCACAGTCTGAAAGTCAATCCTCCATGTCAGGCAATAAAATGATTGAACGAAAATTGGCATTGAATGTTAGTTTGAATTCAGTGAATATTGAAAATTTCACATGTACCATATGGAATAATGATAGAATACCGCCCGCATTGTCATCATCTACACTAGCCGCCGCCGCCGCCACATCATCATCGTCATTTCCTTCAGCTGATGGTAACACATTTAAACCGACATCGCTGATTGTTCCAACAGCGGAGCATTATCATAGTCAATTTCAATATTATCGACTTCATGAAGTGACTGTACGTGTGTCTGGACCGTTGAGATCATCTGAACTACTGATTAATCCTATCATTATTGATGGCTCATCAAGTTTGTCTCACCGTAAACAATCCACTTCACTAGACAATGACAATAGTAGAAGTCCACTGTCGTCGTCTGCATCACTGCCGACTACAGCTACACAGATCAGTAATCAACAGGACATCCTACTAATCCATATTCCATGAAGATGATAACAATCAACAGACGTATAGTTATTTAATTTATATAAAAGATTTACATTGTCTAGAAATTAATTGAGTGATCTAGTTATCAGGATACATTTTATTGCGATACTTTAGGCATTTATTATATTTAGCAAGCAAATTAGTTTTATCATGGTTTTGTCTAAATTAAATAATCATT